CAAAAAAAAAAAAATAAAGGCAGTATAACTCGAGGGATACTATCCAATGCAAAAATTATGATGCATCAATATATGCTTAAAGTTGTTTGGAAAAATCAAAAATTACCGCTGCTGCTGGCGAAGCAGAACGTTTCCGTCCTCGATGTTCGTGTTCATGCTTCAATCGTGTTTCGCCCCTTTCCGACTCCTTCGCCGGTGCTTCATTCTGAGTAGGTGCTGGTGCAGTAGCTGCAGCTGCTGCTGTTGCTGTTGGCTCAACATGCCTTCTCTTCTCGCTCAGCGATACTGATACACGTAGATGCGCTGGTGTTTCTCCAGCATTTGTTTTGTTATCATCCGTTTTGGATCGTTTGCTTTCCTCGGTCTTTTCCGCCGTGGATTTTTCAGTTCGTGCTTTATCGGCAACAAGATGCTTTTCAAGCTCAAATACAAAATATTATATTATGCATCATCAAAACATTATCGGGCATCATTGGTCCCCTCACACAAATGTTCGTCTCATAATACACTATGAATGATTTTATGGGCATCATTCGATACAGCATTTGCTCAGAGCAGCTGGGAAAGTTGTCAGATGACCAAGTGAACCATACTGTGAATTAATAACTATCCCAGGTATTCACGATACTGCCCCCCTTAAAACATCTGTTCTCGCCTGATTTCACTTTCTTATTCACAACAACTATAGTTATAATATATTTCAATTTATTCCAGTGAATTGTGCGCTATTTTAAGTTATTCCCCTCGATTTAAAACTCACTAGAGCTTGAATATTTTATTTTGCACTGAATCGACTTAACTGCTCTTGAAAAGAATTTGTAGTGAAGGCAATCCACGCCTATTTTAATTTATTTCACCACTTCTCAATCATTTCTACAACGCACCGAGGGAAAAAATGCTTCTAAAACGTGGCTCAGTGACTGGAAAAAATTTTTTAAGACCACAGCACAAAAGGTCCTATCGCAGACCGGACGAATACTAAGGTAGGCGGCTCCCGGTTCTGGAAAACCGTCATATAGTTTTAAAATTATTGCAACTTTCCGTTAACTTCGGCCAGTGATGCATCGTTATTTTGCTGAGCAACTTCCATCTAAATTATGCCGCTAAAAATTCGCTAAAATAATCGACAGCTATTTTTAAATGCCAAAAAAAAAATGAAATTCTCACATTTGCATCGTCCGAGTAATCAACTTTCAAAGTTTTTGGACTGCAAGCTGGCCAAACGACATTGTGAAGCCTACCACGTGCTACAACAGCTTCTTCCACTGATGAATACTGCAAACGCAAAAAATTCCCAAAGATGCTAAGCAGATCAAACATACAGCTCACTTTACGATAGA